AGCTGTGAAAATAAGATGTGAGTCAGTTGCTATTCTTGCAGAATCTAGTTGGCACTGTGTGATGATTTATTCCTTGAATATTCATCGCCTGGTGATTGTCCATGAACTAGAACCTGGAATTGCATAAAACCGTGAGCCAGAAGTTGTGCATTCTAGACTCAACTTTTTCTGTTTTGGGGGGGCTTCTTGGGTCACACCGTCGATGTTCAACAGTTTCTCCTGACTTGTACTCAGGAATTACTCCTGGCGGTGCTCAGGGAACCATATGGGAAGTCAGGGATTGAACCCAGATTGGCCGTGTGCAAGGCAAACGCCTAACTCACTGTAATATTGCTCCCGCTCCATCTTTTGCCATCTTTTTTACTGGTATGGTGCTGTGCCATTCCATCTGTCAGATACCTTTTGGTCTGCAAGTGTGCTAATTATCCAGTGACAAGACATCAAAATGAGTATGACACACCTTTGTTTGAAGAACTGTCTGTAGAAGTGTTTTTGCATTTTAAAAGGAAAAGAATATGAGAACAGGTGCCTTAGACATTGAAAGGAAGTTCCTACAGAGGAACGATAAAATATTGTGACATTGGAATAGACTATCAATGGGAAGGGGAATATAATTTCTTCAGGCAGGATTGCAACAGATGGAAGTAAATTGAGATAATAAAGAAATTTAGAGTATTTCTTAGCAAGCCGATAGTCCTTTAATCTGTGATGGTGCCCCAGGTAATTGTGATAAACAGTGCACCAACTACATGAGCTAGTAATTTAGATGCATTATCAGCAAAATAGTTGAACATTCTGCTTGTTTAATGTATTCGTGGTACATTCAAGTAAAATTAAAGTTTATAAGAAATCAACACACTGATGATAGGAAACTATCGTTTTCCTTAGTAGAGCTCTATAATACTTAATGCTTATAGGTACCACAATTTAGAATTTAGTTCTTTAAAATAAATTCAGGAAATCAGACTAAAAACTTAGATCCGTTAAGCTCAGTATAACCTCAGGCTCTTCATTTGTGAAATCTCAAGATTGGATTAAATAACTGTGACAGCTCTTCAGCCATATATAAAAGTATTATTTTTATACAGTTGCTGAAAGAGGTCCTGTGATTCAGCTGCCTTTTAATGAGTCCTTGTAATGTGCCATTTTGTTAAGTACTTTAAATGCACCTCATTAATTCTCTTATCGCAATTATGAGTATTTTTATTTTGAGAGTGGAAATTAGGGCATCGAGAAGTTTAATAACTTGCATGAAGAAACGTAGCTGCTAAGTGGTAGGGCTGGCATTCCAACCCAAGTCACTGGGATTCTATTGCAGTCTTTCTCCCAAGTCTCTTCTTCTCATAGGAGTTGATGCGTACAGAAATTATTAGGGGAGAAGGAATAATTTGAACTTGCATGTTCCTATATATCTTTACAAGTTTGTGTCTTGGTTTCTTTCCCCACATGATGAGAATGGCTGCAGAGTGTATTATAAACAGTGCCAAAGTGGCTAAGAAGCAGATGAGAGGTTGTGGGTCACTGGTGCTACTGCTGTCAGAGCAGACCCCAGCTCCCATTAGTCAGTTGCAGATGATTGTGTTTAAATGATAACAATTTGGAACACTTGCTGTGTAGCATTTATCTCAGGGTAATCTGATATTTTAAAAGGAGATTAGAAATATGTGATTTTTGCTTGTCTTTTTTAATAAGCCGTCAGAAGCAGATTAACTGGGGCAAGGGTGAAGCCACGCCCTGCTGTACTCGGGGCTTGCTCCTTGCTCCATGCTCATGGATCACTCTTGGCTTTGCTCAGGGGAACATGTGAGATGCCAGAGGATTGAATTCAAGTATTCAATCAGTTGTTTTGAATCTCTCTTTTACCCTAATTTAAGATAATACTGTAGCCAAGTAAAATATTGTTAGCTTCATTTTGACCATGTGCCAGTTATCCACAAGTTCTGTAATTAGGGTTTTTTGTGTATGTGTGCGCACACATGCTTTGGAACTATATACTGAGGGGTGCTCAGGACTTTCTCCTGGCTCTGTGCTTAAGGTTCACTCCTGGCAGTGCTTAGGGAGTCTGATGCGGTGGTAGGGATCAAGCCCAGGTTGGCTCTGTGTAAGACAAGCGCTTTACTTAAAGTTCTCTCTAGCCCCTTAATTAGTTTTAATATTTATCTTATTTGATAAGATAACAATAGTTGTCATTCTAGTCAGGTTTCATGGAGATGGTGAGTCTCTTGGAACTGCATCTCATTATAAGTCAACTTTTTATATAAACTTTCATAGTCATTGTGAACCCAAGTGGATTAAATGTAATATACATTAAGCTATATATTTTTTCTGATTCAAAAAAATTTTCTGAGTACCTACTATGCTGAGTAATCCATCTACTCAGTAGGGATTCAGAAGTGAAAAATTGTTGAATTCAATCTTAGACTATTGATTACCTTTAAAATGTTCTTTCCCATTATTTCAAATGGAATGACTTCATAATCAGCCACGGTAATCAGTTTGACACTTTGACATATCCTGTCTTATTTGGGTGAAAAATTGACCCTTTAAAGTTGAACAGACAACTACGTAATATTTATGTTGTCAAGTATTTGGTCCAGTGTCACACTTATGCAGTAATAATAAAGTGCTTACAAAAACAGTTAGTGTAGAAACTGGTCTGGCTTGAATATCTCATGTAGATGCAGAGGAGACAGTAGATTTTTACTTCATAAGGAGCTAAGTCACGATTTGAGTCACATTCTCCAAGTTTATTTATAATACATCCTACACTCAGTTTTACTTAGACTACTAATTGGATGTAGAGGAGATCTAGAGATTGAAATCTTTCCTTTCAAGAATCTAAGCCCCCAAATTCACATATAAATGAAATGTGAAGCAAACAATTGAGCCATCATTAGTGAAGCACTTACTACAGCACACACATCCTTTTAAACTCCTTTTTTATTTATGGCTTATTTGTTACTTGCCAAATGCCCTCACTTCATACATGTGCTAATTAAGGTGAAGAAATGTTAATTGTAGTACCCTTTGTAATATGTTACAACTTTAGTATTTAAAATCCAAAGCCGAGTATTCTTAATCTTTTGCAGCATATGTGGGCATATAAACTTATTCTTTATTTTCAATGTATAGTAATTTTTTGTTTTGTTTTGTATTTTGGACCATACTCAGCAGTTCACAGGGCTTACTCCTGCCTCTATGCTCAGAGATCACTTTTGGCAGTGCTTAGGGAACCATATGGTTGTCAGGGCTAGAACCCAATGTCTGCATTCAAGGCAAATACTCTACCTATTATACTCTGGCCTCTACAGTAATTTGTTTTGATATTTTATTCTAATTTTGAAACCATGGTATTGTGGACAGCACAACACTTGTTATAATTAAAGTAATTTATGTGGCTTTCCTCTTTACAATCTGTTCTTTTTCATTTCTTTTACAATTTGATTCTGTTATTTTTAGGAAATATTTCCTGTCCAAGATTCAATAATTAGAGTTCTAGGTTGTTTGCAGGTTTTTCAGGCAAACTACTGAGAATATCCTGCCCTCACAGGCAGAGCCTGGCAACCCGTTCCCCCCCCCCCCCCCCCAATTCGATATGCCAAATACAATAACGACAATAGGTCTCCTCCTGACCCTGAAAGAGCCTCCAATTGAGTAAGAAGAGGATGCTAATATCTCAGGACTGGGAGAAATAGAGATGTTACTGGTGCCCACTCGAGTAATTCAACGACCAATGGGATGACAGTGATACAGTGAATTTCTAATGTTTGCAGAAAGGGGCAGAAGACAGGCTTAAGGAAAGAAGCACATTCAGTATCTATGGAGACCATCTAAATTATATTTACTTGAAAAGGCTCTTACTCCATTTTTAAGTTTTTTTCATGGGTCACATTTATTTTCATCTGCCGGATGAACCAGCATGTATACATTTGGTTAGCATGAGGGCATGTATCTTAAGAATAAAAGCTAATGAGGGCTTGGTTGCTTTCCACTCACTGTCTAGTAGCCTCTCTGTCAGTGCTGGGGAAGCCTGCATGTGTGGGAACTGACTTTGCAGTAGGGTGTTCTCAGGGCACAGCTGATGAAAACGTTTTACCTTCCTAGGTTTTTGCCATTGATGAACTTTCTTTTATGTCTATTTAAGACTCTGTGTGTGTGTGTGTGTGTGTGTGTGTGTGTGTGTGTGTGTGTGTGTGTGCGCTCAATGATACACGGGTTACTCCTGGCTCTGCACTGAGGAATCACTCCTGGTGGTGCTCAGGGGACCATATGGGATGCTGGGAACTGAACCCAGGTCGGTCGCGTGCAAGGCAAATGCCCTACTCACTGTGCTATCACTCCAGCCCCTGTCAAAGACTTTTATATCTCTGAGATTTAGTGGTTTATTAGATGAAAAGGAAAACATAACAGACCCAGGCAAAACTTATGTTAGATCCAGGGAGAATCTGACTAATTGTCCGTGTTCCATTACCTTTTATTATTTTAAATTTGTCTTGAACAGTCATTGTGGGGGAGGGGGGCGGGAGGAAGAGCGGCTTGTATTACAAAGCAATTTTTATTCTCCATCTATCAAAGAATAAAAATGAAACCTAAGGACTGATGGGATGCATTGAGTTGGAATACATTGAGCTACAAGATTCTATGACTTTCCTGGGGAGAATAATATGTAGACATGGGCTGAGCCTCCTTGAGGAATGAGCAATACAGTAAATCGACATATTTTTATACAGTTTTAAAATAAATGAAAGAGTCATGATTTTACTTTTTTAGTTTTTTATATTTAGTAGCAGTAAATCATAGAGCATCTGCCTGATCATGCTTTAAATTTAGAACTTAGCTGTGAGCCAGTGTGAGAAGGGGAAGACGAGCGTAAAAAAAATATTAGTTACTTTTTGCATTGTTGTAAAAGTTTGGAAAATATTTCATACTAACTTCAAGTGAGTAGTCATAGAATTTTTAGTGCATAAAAGATAACGATACTCCTTTTTTTTCTTCTTCAGAAACGTGCTAAGGGTCAAGTGTTATTTGACAAAGTATGTGAACACCTTAATCTCCTGGAAAAGGACTACTTTGGACTTTCTATTCAGGAAAACACCGAGCAAAAAGTAAGTTGAAATTATTGCAAATTTATTTATATTGATGACCTAGAGAAATAGTGATGTAAAAACAGTATACATGCAGTATTTTTTTGATAATTGCAAAACAAGCAATTGTTTAAACAAGCTTTAGCTTTCAGTTAAAACAAGCAATATAAAATAAATTATTTTGTGCCTTCTGAGGGTTCAGACTTGAGGGGTGATTGGGAAAATGGGGACAATAAGGGAGGGAAGGTCACACCAGTTGTGGGACTGGTGTTGGAGTGTTGAATGCCTATGACAAATGCATTCAGAACAACTTTGTCAACCATGGTGTTTAAAATAAAGGGGAAAATAGTACACAATTGAATTTTACAGCAGTCTATTTTATAATTTTATTTTGATATTTCATGTTCCTTGTGGACATCCGATAAATTGTGAGACCTGACCTCATGTAAAGCATTGCCTGCATGTGTGTGGGGGGCTGCTTTCCTACGTAACCTATCTTAAGAATTTGAGTCAAAAACAATTGAGTTAAATGCTTTTATGTTGAATTTTTGGTGCTTGATTTTACTTGTATGCTAGGAACTAAGCATGTTTGAAAAACAGATTGTGGAATATCAGAGATCCCAATGCATACTGTCTGAAGCTTTGAAGAGAGCCTTGGCCTTGTTAAACAGATGCATTCTGGTGTCTCTTTGGGGTGATGATGTTTCTTGCCCTATCATGCGGTTGTTGGGGGAGGTAAAAAAGAAGTGGGGTCAGCCAAATTCCTGAGATAGATTTAAGCACTGAGAGGAGCCGGAAATCTCCCCAGAATGTATGGAGGTAGTTTTCTGCTCCAGGAGTTTCCTGAGATGTTAAGCAGTCCCTTCAAGGCATGACAGTACTGGAAGTTGATTCCAGGGAGCGTTGGCACTTCTCAGCATCATACAGAAATGAACGAGAAATAGATGCAACAGTTCTCGCAAACCAAAGTTTACCTACAGCTTTCTATCTTTGTTCTGGCAGCTCTAATAAAGCATCATAGAAGGAAGTGATTTTAAACATCTCTTTGTTTCAGTTCTAGATGCCAGGAAGTTCACAGTTAAGGTCATAGCAGCTCTGGGTTCTGGTGCATGCCCTGGGCCTGATTCACAGACAGCTGTTTTCACATTTAGCCTCTCATTGTGCCCGTCCATGAGGGAAGAGCTTCAGGAAGCTTCTGGACACTCTTTGATAAAGGCTCCATTCACAAGGGCTCTAGCTTCCTGACCTAATCTCTTCCCAAAGGCTCCACCTTCCAGTTCTGCCCTACTGCAAAGTAGGTTTTCATATAGGGCTTTTCGGGTAGATTCAAAACATGGAGTTCTAAGTACCTTCTTTATGGTTACAGAAAAGGACTTAAGTTTCTTTTCTTCTTATTTCACTTTCTAAGGCTTGGGACTCAGGGGGGACAAGATATTGATTATATAGGAGTGAGCTACAAAGGCTTGGCCCAAGGTTGCAGGCAAAAGATTCTATTAATTGTGACCATGACAGACTTGCTGTGACCAGTCTCTCTGAGGGTGCCCAGAACACTCAGTCACTGAAAGGAGTTATTTTCTAAAACCTAATTTTAACATCAAAATCAACAGAACAGAGCAAACAGGAGATGAATATAGGCTATAAAGCATTATTAGCCCACATGTCATCATTGTTTATACTTAATTGTCCTGTTAATGAAATAGAAGGAAGGGTAATAATTTTATATAAATTAAGTTCTTTCAGCTTGCTTAGTTTTAAATCCCCAATACCTAATTTCTGGTTTAATTCTACATTTTAATTAAAGACAATTAAATTGCATGCCTGCCTCTGAATAGTGTGTGCATATACTTATTACAACTCTGTTCAGAATACTTTTGTCTGGAAAAAATAGTATAATACAGACCTTTGACAAAATAAATAAGGGATCTCTTTTAGGCTTTAAATTATATGGTGGTCTTGATAATGTTTGTAAACATGTTTTCCTCTATCGATTCTTTTGTTTTTTTTTTCCTTTTTGGGTCACACCCAGCAATGCTCAGGGGTTATTCCTGGCTCTGCACTGAGGAATTATTCCTGGCAGTGCTTGGGGGACCATATGGGATGCCGGGGATTGAACCCAGGTCGGCCGCATGCAAGGCAAACGCCCTACCTGCTGTGCTATCATTCCGGACAGAAGAAAGTGATGAGCTTTCAATTGAGTGCTCTTTTTTTTTCTCCATTGAATCCCCATGAGATACAGCACAGCTTTCATGTTTGAGTTTTAGTCATACAGTTATCGAACAGCCATCTCTCCACCAGTGCACATTTTCCACCACCAATGTCACCAGTATCCACCTGTTCCCATCCCACCCCTCCTCCTGCCTCTTTGAGATTATTTTTCTGTCATTGATAGGAGTATTTAATTCTTGTGAAAAAGGAACAATCCAGTATGTAATAAAATATGTAGAATATGCATTCTGTTCCATTTATATAATAGGCCACATCTGAAAATAAGATATGCTTTATTAAGAAATTTATTATTTCTGTAACTAGATATTTTTTTTTAATCATTTTTTTTATTAGTGAAACACCATGAAGTACACTTATAGACTTATAAATTTTTGTGCTTGGGTTTCAGTTATACAATGATCAAGTACCCATCCCTCCACCAGTGCCCATCCTCCCCCACCACGGGTCCTAGCATCCCTCCCACCCCCCATCCTCCCCCCCACCCCCCCGTCCCACCCTGCCGCTGTGGCAGGGCATTCCTCCCTGTTCTCTCTCTCTTCTTTTGGGTACTGTGTTTTGCCAGAGAGGCATTGAGTGGCAGTCATGTTTGGTCTATAGACCACTTTTAGCATGTCTCTCCCACCCTGGGAGGGTCTTCACAACACCCTTTATTTGGTGCTCTCTTCTCTATCTGAGCTTCCTTCTCACCTAGCACATGTGGCTGGCCTTCAAGTCATGGAGCAAAATTCCTGGTACTAATCTGAGCCCTTCCTGGGTGTTAGTCTCCCGTTTTGTTGCTTTATGTTCCCCAGATGAATGCAATCTTTCTGTGTCTATCCCGCTCTTTCTGACTCATTTCGCTTAACATGATACTTTCCATGTAGTACCACTTGTATGTAAATTTCATAACTTCATCTTTTCTAACAGCTACATAGTACTCCATTGTGTAAATGTACCAAAGCTTCTTTAACCAGTCATCTGTTCTCGGGCACTCAGGTTTTTTCCAGATTTTGGCTATTGTAAAGAGTGCTGCAATGAACAAACACTTGCAGATGTCATTTCGACTATACATTTTTGCCTCTCTGGGATATATTCCCAGGAGTGCTATAGCTGGGTCAAATGGGAGATCGAATTCTAATTTTTTGAGAATCGTCCATACTGTTTTCCAAAAGGGTTGGACCAGCCTGCATTCCCACCAGCAGTGAAGGAGGGTCCCTTTCTCGCCACATCCGCGCCAGCACCTGTTGCTTTTGTTCTTGTGGATGTGGGCCAGTCTCTGTGATGTGAAATGATATCTCATTGTTGTTTTGATCTGCATCTCTCTGATGATTTGTAACTAGATATTTTAATAAGAAAATGTTTTATATAGTAGAATTCACTATTTTTTATTTTGATGGTCCGTGATACAGTCTGTCATATCAGAATTTACCCTCAGTTGTGTAAATGCAAAATGATAATTTAACTCAACTGTCCCCTATAGAGTAGTTCTGGATTCCTCCTTCCTTATTATTTATTCCATTGCTTATCTGCCAACGAGGTCTGTTTTTCCTACCTGCTAACTTTTCTTTCCCGAATTTTTTCATCTGCAGTTCTGCTTTGATCTAGGCATTTGCTACATCTTGATCTGTTTTATATTCCACCCAATGCAAATGTACTGTTCAGTTCCAGTTCCTTGTGTTTATTCTTGGCACTGTTGCTAGTTTGAGCATTCAGGAGCACATATTTGAAGTTGGTATTCCCTGACTTACTCTCTAATGGACACAGTGTGGTTCACAGGACTCCTGCCTACTTTCGCTTCTCAGTGACCTTTTCCATTGTCTATATTGGTCCCACACCACCCACCACCTTTCACACACAAATGAGCTTGACTGATCTGTATTTCACCTCCTTGCACCTATAATTGCTTGCTGATTTTTGAAATGTCCTTTCCCCAAGCTCCTTTCCTCTCCCTCCCCCTTTCCCGCTCCCTTTTCCTCTCTCTCCTCCCCCTCCACTCCCACTGCCCCCTCCCCTCCCCTCTACTTCCTTTCTCTCCTCTCCTCCCTCTCCTCTCTCTCTCTCTCTCTCTCTCTCTCTCTCTTTCTCTTTCTTTCTCTCCCTCTCTTTCTTTCTCCTCTTCCCTTTCTCCTACCTCCCCCACTCTCCCCTCTTTTTGAGTGCCTGCTTATATTCTCTTTTTCTCTGGGGTGGGCGGTGGGGGGTGGAAGGAAGGGTAGGATCACACCCTGGTGATCAGGGCTTACTCTGGGTCTATTCTTAGGGGACACTCCTAGTGGTACTTGGGGGTCCATATGTGGTGCTGGGGATTAAACCAAGGTTGGCCACATGCAAGGCAAGTGCCTTAAGTCCAGTACTATTGCTCCAGTCCCAATTCTACTTTTAATATTCAGTGTTTGCTTCCTGTTCAGTGAGTTTTAACCTAGTTCTACCACCATTCTTTCTATCCCCAACTGAAGGAGACTCGATAGTTCCCTGTCTTTCATTTTGATACTTAGGACCAATTTTGTGATTCATTCCTTATCACCATTACTCTAAAAACTTTCTAAGACTAGAGATTATGCCTTTATATTTGTGTAACTCAAGTGTCTCTAGGCATTAGCATTTTTATTAAATATTAATTATATGCCTTCTCAGACTCATCAGGATCATCACCGGGAGGAAAAGAAAAAGTGCTGTTGAGAATGTAGAAAAATTTGAAACCTTATGTTCTCTGTTGAGAATGTAGTCCTATTCAGTTTCAGACAACAGTATGGAGGTTCTTTTAAGGCCCTCCCGTTGATCGTCGATTTGCTCGAGCGGGCCCAGTAACGTCTCCA